TCCATAACCCTTTACCCCAAAAATAGACCAATTCCAGGATAGTCTTGGGTATGCTACTCCATGGTAACACATTCTTGAAAAGTTTTACTTTCATTTACTTAATAAAATAATACACCAACTTCTTATTGAGTGACCAGTGACTGTGATGGAAAAAGACAGTATAGTTACATCTATCACATTTTACCAAGGTTTCCTCAGCTTTTTGCTGATTTCGGTTGGACAAATTCACACTTTTCTTGGCAGCTTCGACCTTTTCGCTGTTTCAGTCAAGATTAGATCTACTTATAATTGTCTCAGTCATATCGCAGAATTGGCCATTTCATCAAATAGCCGAACATTTCATGAAATGGTCACGTTTCGTGGAATGGCCAACTATACATGACCATATCGTTAAATCGTCAAGGTTTAAGGATTTTGTCATCAATGTGCACATCGTAAAATATTGTATCCATAAAACCAAAAAAACAACATTCACTAGTACCTGTTTATCGTAAAATGTTCTAATCTCACTTTCTTCGTTTTAAGTAGGTAACGGATTATTAGGATTTGCACCTCAAAAACCAACTTTGTTATTAACGGCCTCCATTTTACGCCAATTTTACGATGAGGCCACGGCATAGACACTATGGTATAACAGGCAGGTAAGTGATGGCATTTTTTTATAATTTATTTGTAGCTCATTGTCTAAAGCCGGTCCCAGACACTACGAGCTTCGCCGAACATTCCGTATTCGCTTAACTTCGTGGACCGTGTGGGAAAGTGGCTTCGTCCCGCCTTCGCATTTTGTGGTATCACGTAGTTCTTCCCCCCGCTGATTGTCGGTTAAATAGTCCGAAGCAAAGGACACGAAGTACGGCGAATTGCGTTCGGTGGCAGCTCCAAGACGCTTCTCTCTAAGACACACACACACCCTCCTACCCTGTACCCCTGTTCCAGGCAACCTCAAACCCTTGATGAGTGGGGGAAGAGCAATCTGCTCCTCCCTCCTCTCCCGCCTGGCGTGGCGCTGCGTGGTTCAGGCCGCTGCGCATTTACCGAGTGTGTGCTGCCGAGCGAGCTATCCCCTCCCCAATTTTGCCCCTTTTTCCCGAAATTGGACTCGATCGTGCACGCGTCGCTGAAGCACGTGGTGGACGTTTCATTCAACTCTCTTTCCTCGTCGACTGGAGTCAGTCAGTCTTGAGTCAGTCGGTTTGCTGTTTGTCATCGTCCCCTGGGGTTAGCCTTGAGTCCGTGCTTGACTCTGGCCACCTCGATCGACAGACTTCTTTTTGTCCACCCGCTGTTCTTTAACCTCTTGAGCGTACAACTATTGTCGGTCTTCTTCCCTTTTCTTTGGCCTCATCAGCTGCTAGGGCCAAATGTCTTCTTGTTGCAGCTGGATTTTCGGTCTTTTATGTCGCCTTATTGTTCTTGGGTCGTAAGCCAAGGCGTTCTTAATCATCTGATTTCGATGTCGTTCGTTCTTTCAAAGAAATTTCGGGCCCTCTCTCATCTGGATTAGGACCGGTACATGTCGTAGTTCGTCATATAGCACTCTATTAGGTACATAACATGGTGCGTCCACCGCCTCACGGAGTGCTATGTTTTGTTGAGCTTGTTTTGGAAACGTAGCCCAAGCTACTGCTGCATAAGTCATGATTTGGAGCAGCACCATCGGAATCATGATAGTCTTATTCTTTAAGGACACTTTGCTTCTTCTGCCTATTAAAGGTCTTAGTTTTGAGCGTGCCATCTTCACTTTCTGCACATGGCCCTCGACATGGTTCTTCCAAGTGAGTTTTTGGCCCATCTTGACGCCAAGGTACGTGCTGGAGTCCTTCCAATCGACCTCAACTTCTTCGTCTCTTCTCCAGCCTCTCTCCGTTCTGGCGGTCGTCATCTTTATTTTGGTTTGAGGTAATCTTCGATTTCTTCGGAACAGTACCGCTTCGGTCTTCTCAGGGTTGAGACGGATCTTCCACTTGATGCACCATTCCTCTAGGTTGGTAGTCGCTCGTTGCAGATATTCCGTAACCATGCAGGGTCTCGTACTTTCTGCCGCATATGCTGTATCGTCCGCATACATATACAGTTGCGTTTGTGTAGTCTTCGGGATGTCTGAACTGTAGATTGCATACAGCAGGGGTGATAGAACCGCTCCCTGAGGTACTCCTGCCTCCACAGTCCTCGTCGTTGAAGTTGCTTTACTAATCCTAATTCGGAATTTACGATGCTTCAAATAGGACTTCACAAGGTGGATCATCCCCGTTGAGTATCCGAGGTCTACCATCTTGTAGATCAGTCCCGTCATGCCAAACCGTGTCGAACGCCTTAGGCGGCACATCCATGAACACAGCTCCCACGCCCGCCGAGTCTGGAACGATTTCGTTTGCCACCATCGACCAGCCTTAGGACCGGTGCTCTGGTGAATGTTCGCTTCGCAATCCGAACTGTTCGTCTGGAACTACCGTAGTTCTTCAGTTTCGTTCCTCAGTCTTCGTTCGATTACCCTTTCGGCAATCTTGCTCAGTACGGTCAACAGGCTTATGGGTCTGTAGTTTTGGGGGAACCTTGGGTCTTTCCCAGGTTTAACTTCTCTCTAACTTCGCTGCACCTTCCTTATATTTTGTCTGATCAGTGCAGAATCAATTTGCGCTTGAGTAATGGAGTGGAACAACGATCTAGCGAATGAATTTTTTGGAACTCTAAACAAATGAGGAAATACTCTGGAACCCGAATCAGAAGATGGTTCTTTCATCAGACTTGTAACATGTCCATACCATATTACCTGAAAAATTTGTATTACACTGTCTATCATCGTAGCTCTCGTACTTAAAAAGTTGAAAGTAAAACCTACTTTCAAAAATGGCGTCAAGTAGATTGACTCTATACTTCACGCGCTTTGATGAGAGGTGTCACGGGCAAACAATAAGGCATGCCCCTTTCACCAATCTTCTCCATCTTCGATTATCTACCCCCAATAAAATTGTTGGAAAGTGATCAGGAGCCCCGAAAACATTCATCATTTTTTTCCGTATTTTGACGATAACAGCGCAACTGCCACCGATTTTCTGAAACCATAAAACAAAAAGCATCCCTGCTATAATACTAAACTGGGGTCAACATGTCTATCAACAAGGATTTCCGGACAGACAGACAGACCGCCGGAACTGAGTGATATGGTTTTTGTGATGTACGTGTCATGAAACACCAAAAAACATGATATCTCAATTTTGGAATTTTTTCGCGATTACAATACGCCAATTGGCGCGGGAAGTAAAACTAAGAAGTAGGATTTGAAAATAGTTACTAAAAGGTTTTTTAAGAAGCTAGCAAGCGAATAGAACAAAAGTTTTAACTTTACGTAATTTTGTAGACTTTTATTTAAAGATAGCATCCACCATCTTCTTTCTCGATCCATCAAAAGGACTGTTATTCATACAATTTCTGATACTCCATAATCTTTATAACTTATGCTTTCAATTTTTTCTGATGTCCTTCAAGTATTCAAATGACTTCCGAGAAAAGCATATAAACGAAGTTCTACATTATTCTCATTATAATCCCTCCTATATCATAGACATAGAGCATGCTCGGAGAACAAAACCACATAGTTCTTCTCCAAATTCTAAATAACGTTATCTCTTCCGGAACTTGAGTTGGAAGTAAAAACCTGATACCCAACAAACCAATCTCTCCTTTCCGCTCTTGTTTTACATTCGACATGGATAAGGCCTAAGAACTGATATCTCCTCATATCCATTTCGAATAATTCTCAATTTCAATCCCACGCTTCTAAGCCAGCCCAGCAAACGATACGCTGTCTGTTCCCGACGCTAGGTTATCGTGTTCCCTTTAATACCCACAGAAAGATAAATTGGAGACGTCTGCAGCCTCTCGCTATCACGAAACACACACAACACTCGGTCTGGTCTTCACGGTTTACTGAAAGGGGGTATTTCTTTGATGCATGGAGTCACGTTGCCTTGCAGTATTTGCTTATCTGCTGTGAAAGATGTCATCCTGGAGGATTAAAAACGCGCATTAATATAAGGGTCTATAAGCACGCACTCTACTTATCGTCTTACTTTGCGCCTCTTTTTGTATGACTGTATGTATTTTACGACTGAACTGCTGTACTTTACTTTGTTCGTATTTAGGATTTAAGGTCTAGCTACAGTACGAGAATACGCTTTAATCTACGAAATGCGTTACTGACAATGCTTCAACTAATACCAGTGGAATTGCAAGCTATTGATAGACAAGCTTCTTGAAACTATTTATATGCCCTATTATCTCGTTTCTCATCGCTGCTTTCATTTTTCAACATTCTGCTGGCGGCTTCCCGTTTCCCTTTACTAAGACAGATAGCATGAATGCAAAAAATCACGGTAAATTGACTCTGCACTTTCCACACAACGCTTGTTAACAACTCAAAAAGGATTCTGTTCGGCAAAAATTAGCACCTGTATAAAAAAAAATTATCTAAGAACATGTATTTATAACATGAAATCAAATGGATCAGACCAGTCAACACAGACTCATACAATTAGCCATAGCTGTCACCCATCTGACAACGCCTGCCGTTGCGAAACCACGCATTAAGTCGTCAACGGTTAATGATTTGGTCATCCACCTAAAATATATTTTTACCATACATACCAAGTTTGATATAAAATTAATTTTCATCCATTAAACAGATGGGTAAAGGAAAACCTATACCTACTATCTTTCATCGATTGAGTCTTTACCCCTGAATGGCAAAGTTGCATTGACAACCCCAAAACATTTGTCATTTTGAAAATACAAATGTTGCATTTTGTGTGCATTTTATAGTGGCTTTCGTTTCCTTTCTACTCAGTCAAATAACATCATCGCAAACATGCATGACGATCCTAATGCTTTCATCATTTTGAAATCCAAATGTTGCAAATTATGTGCCAAACCAAGAGCGTATACTAGAGAGTTTCAGCGATCACAGATACTGCATACTTCAGGTGTGACAAATGTCAAAAGAGGTTGACGTTAACGTTTATGTATGCGGCATGCCAAAACTTTATCAATGTTTGTGAGTATAAATATGTATGTTGGTATTGACCATAATATTTTTGATCCGGCAACCTTATTTCTAGGTGAAAAGTCACGCTGAATTGTTTTGATGGCGGCACATATGGAACGTTATGCCTGTATCTCACTGAAAAAAATGAATAATCGGCAACTGCGAATTCGGAAGAACTACTTGATGAATCCATTTGGCCTACCCACAGATTACCTTGAACAAAGCTGATAGCAGTGACTCTGGTATGGTTAAACATATTTCTAGGTAAAAGTCACGCCGAATTGTGGCTTTGTACCCGACGCCACCCCGTATAATCTTATATTTATGATGGCATAGACCGGACATTTATTAGACCGTAAAAATAAATGGCCTTAACACCCAGAGAATGGGAAGAAAGCTTTTATGGCCTCATGTCGCTACAATTAAAATTATACTCGGCAGTTTATGCTGGAATAGATAAAATTGCATAAATAGTATTTCCAAGAGTATCACAATGATATGAAGGCACTAGGCTGGATACAATTCAGAAGAATCGTAAAGTGAGCTGTAGCGCATATCCAGCTTTTACGAGTTTGGGCTTTTAAGATAGACATAGACTTGCCCGGTAATTCAAAAAGTATACAAAGCAGTAACCGATATTATGAAACTATATACAATGCTATCCGCAATGAACATTTTCATGATATTGCCACGAAGATGCATGTTCTTTACAGTAATGCCATTTCTGCGGGTTGTAGTTGTAGGGTCCACGTAGATGTGACTGAAAACACTAGTCTACTTGTAAGATGAGAGACGGTAGATCATTGATTCCCAAAGTGGTCTATATCGACCCCTAGGGGTCTATGACAACCTGCAAGGGGTCTACGTCAGCGAAAAAAAATTTGGGGGTCATGGGGCATAGTGTAATATTTGCCATGTGATCATTATTCGGACATGCAAAATCAAAAAGGTTTTGCTTGGAATTTAAATTAGTCTTCATTTACATCTTGATGAGTTTCTCTTGCAAATAATTATACACTTCACATGGAAAGCCAAAATATAAAACAGGATGAAGAGCATGTCTCCAATCGATATCGCGCAGATCATTACCCCCTCGAAATCCTCATAAATATACATGTCCCGATTGAGCTAACATCCGCACGGCATGCATAAAAATATAACCCCAACGGAAAATAAACAGTAATTCTCCACTTATCTCCGCGAAGCACACAGACGGATGGAGCGAGACTATCAAACAAAACAGATAACGACCCACACTGAGAGGAACTTGTGATGTTTGTCCACAGATAAAGTAAATAAAGCAACAATGGGCCCCACCGAACGATAGGCAGACGTCGTAACGGCAGGCGTGATGATTTTGTTTCAAGGGAATATGATTTTGTCTTTTTAACAAACTTGAAAGATAACGTCTTTCTGTCACACGATCTGATGATATACAGCTTTGCTTTGGTGTTAATATTGGTACGACGCCATCACGATTCAGGTTCAGATTCAAAACTGTTTATTATGCATTCTTGATATACATTGTTTTTATTTTATTTCATACAAACTAAAATTGCGACATTGTGTCTACTTGTTTGCTACTGTGTGATATGCGTGCAAGGCCAGATTTTACTATTGACAGGCGAGCATCAAATTCACGACTGTGGTACATATTAAACCAATAGTAGCGAATCATTTTTCGGTTTGAGAGACATCTTAAAAGAAATCGCCAATCCATTCGATCATTTTTTCAATATGTACCATATGGGTGAAGTTTGATCCTCGCCTGTCAATAGTAAAATTTGGCCTTACACATATATCACACTGTAACACACAAGTAGACACATGTCGCAATTTAGTTTGTATGAAATAAAATAGAAACAACGTATAATGCATAATAAACAGTTTTGAATCTGGAACCTGAATCGTGGTGGGTAGCGTCGTATCAAGATTAACACCAAAGTAAAGGGGTATATCATGTGACAGCAGTTTGCCGAGCATATTGATTTTGGGCACTATAAGCTGGAATCACTTCCAATCTTTCGATTAGTGTGTAAGCCATTTTGGAAGTAATAAATTAATTTTCACTATCCCACGATTGTCACAAAGGTAACTGACAGCAAATTAAATTCTTTCTTTTCCTTAGCAGCAAATAAATAAACAGGTATAACAATAAATACAGTTCGCCCAGGATATGTATGAAAAGAAATGCGGAACAAATTTTGTGTGTTTTTGTTTTCGATCAGAACAAAATAAGATAAATAAAGGTTTTTCTAATTTTCTCAAAAACGAACGACAGATTTAAAAAAAATCAAACGGTCTTCGAAAGCTTTCAAACAAGCTATTACTTGATACCCCTCGCTATTTAAAATTTTTAAGGGAATGACCCTGATGGGCAGAGGGTGAAGTAGTTTTTGATTAAAAAGTTGTCCCCCTTGACAAATCTTCTGACGTGCCTCGACGTTTTTTCCATTAATAAGTTGTTTTAAATCCGTGGTGGGATATACTCAAATGAACACTCTGTATACAGATTCCAAAGTAATGGACCCAAAATGCTGCCTTGAGGGACGTCAAATGGAGTTGTGTGATCATCACCCACATTTAACAGTTGACAGTTTGCCTCGTGTTTTTCTATTTTGGAGACAATTTTCGGTTACCCTTATCATATTGGCGGGTATATCGAGATTATACATTTTGCAAAGGATGCCTTTACGAAGGATACTATCGAAAGCTTCACTTAAGTCAGTTGTTAGCATGGCCTCATGTTCCTTTTTGGCCAACGAATTGCAGGCGTATTTTGCTGTATACTTTATCTGAAGTCACTTGAAACACTGTGAAATACCGGGTGCGTTTTATATATCTATACTTAACCCGCTCTGTTGCCCGAAAAATCGCCAAATTTCCCAGCAAATATAAGATCAAAGGCAGTTTCACCGGTCCACGTGGAGTAAAGCACGCCTATGCGTGGACATAGCCAATGAGAAAGCGTGTATTTCAGAGCTCCGAACAAGTGTAGGTGGCTACTGAAAATTGAAACAGTTTAGCCAGTGCCGTGTAGCGGTGAATAAACGTGTTTTCTGTAGTCTGTCCGTGTTTTTTCATAGATTTTATTAGTTTGTGTGTTTTTGACTTTTGAATACTCAGTTTACTTGTTGATTTAATTGTTGTGTTGATTGTTCTTGTGTGTCCTAAATATGGCTCTTTGGAGACCTTGGGAAAATGCTCCAAGCCACGAGGAGATGGTTGATGAACCTGTGCAGGCAGAATTCTTTCATAAAGATTTAGAGGAACAGAACCAAAGAGTAATCCTAAATATGTATGATTATCTGAAAAACGAAAATCCAGATTCCTCGCAAAATCAAATTTTAAACAGAATTTGTATCCTGACAAAAATCAGTCGGTCTACCATTTATCGGGTTATAAAAAGGGGAGATTTAGTCAACCATTCCTTCCACAGAAAGCGAATAGGGCAAAAATTAAAAAGAATAGACGTGGGTTTTCAGGAAGATATTCGTCGTATAATATACGGATTTTATTAAGAAAATTTGGTGCCCACGTTGGAATGATACGGGATAAATTAAAAGATTCCTGAAGATTTTTATATTACAAATGCTCAGACTCACTGCACTGTATTGTAAAACTGTGTGGTTTTCAATACAAAAAATTAGATAAAAGAATGGTGATTATGGAGTCGTCTCGAATCATTGAATTGCGCCAAGAATTTTTGCACAAAGTTAAAATCTATAGAGAGCAGAAAAGAAATCTGATTTACCTGGATGGAACGTGGTATGATACCCAAGTGCATTTTAAATGCACCATGCAACCAGGCATGAATCCGCATTGGTAAGTTGGTATAACCTTAATTACTTCAGGCTGGATTCTAGCGTGTACCTTGCCCAAAATATTCAACAAGGTCATTGGGAGAAAAGAGGTGGGGTATTTTACCATGTTTATGTTTGAAATACATTCTGCTAAGCTTCCATTAATCTGGGAAGTGTACGACACCACGACGAAATGCTGTCATGTACTTATGCACAGTACTGAGATGCATGACGACTTTTGAGATTCTCATACTTCACGCAGGAGAGAGGCATTTCTTCCTGAAAATCGCTATAAAAAGTATCCACTACTATACATAGTAAAACTGTATTCAAAAGTAGCTATCTTGAAGGAACTTTGATATATTCCTAAGACATGTATTTTGTTGTTTTCTTCTCCATCAACAACCTAAACTAATTAAAAATTTAGAGATCTTAGTGTTACATTTTCCAGCAGGTTGGACTGTCCACATAGCACGCGTCTCTTCTGATCGACAACGATTTTAGGTTTTATAATGCGTACCTAACAGTCTTTCTTTCTCTAACAAACAAGTACTAAAAACGCGTTGTACGAGTATTTCGATGGTGCAACCAAAACTTGCGTACGCCTCTGCAATATGGGATCTCTCCTATGGATATTATATGAATATTTTGGAAAATGTACAAAGAAATATTGTACATATTAAATTGATGTGGTATATCCAGAAAAGGTGGTCAGTGCATCTGTTCTACTACCATGTTACGACCTAAGGTTTCTACAATTACGACGTTTTATTGCTGGTCTCACTTTTCTACATAAATTGGATGAATCAGAACTTCTAGGGAAGTTAAATTTTTGCGCAGTCTTATCATGTTATTCATCACTGTATTTTATGTGCAATAATTATTTACCACTCTAGGCCGTTCTGGGATTAACTTCGATTGTATCAGTAAAATTCTACCAAATTCCAGTGACTACTACTCTAGCTAAATCTTTTTAGGCTCATTTTATGTTGTTCCTGTTCTTAATTAAGTTATATTGCCCTGTAATTGGAATAGTTTGTTGGGCCAATTATTTATAAATAAATAAATGAATAAGCTGAGACTAGTTCCTTTATTTTGTGTACATGAATATGCAGTAATGTCCGCTTATAACGAACCTCAAGCGAAACTGGTTCGCTATAAGCGAAGTTCGTAATAAACGATAAATAACGCTAATACCAGAAAGTATTTTTTTATTTATTCAACTAGGGGTATATAAAATGTTTGTAATAGTATATAATAATATCTATAATCAACATTTATAAGAGTTTTTGGAAATCTTCCTTAAAAAATTCATTTATTTTAGTTTGGTTTATTTTTGTAATATGTAATTCCACTTCAGCTAATCGATCTAGCACATGCTGCGGAGTATTTCGTGACTGAAGGACGAACGCTGTCAATATATCGAAGTGCTTTTGATGTGGTTGGAGTTGGTCTCAGATCCATACCGACAGATTCTTCATCTTTATTTTCCTTTTCTTCGTCATCATCAGTATCAGCTGCCGAATATATAACAGCTACAATGGCATCATTATCCAGGTATTCGACAGTCACAACTTGGTCATCAATATGAACAAACTCATTGAAATCGTTTTCACTATAAGGAAGATTGGCTCTAATATTGTCTCGATGATCGTCTTCCTGCTGAATTTATTCATCCACTCAACTAATGGCAGGTCATCGTCGGGATCAAAATGATCCTCAACCTCCAAGAAACCCCCATGCTTAAAACAATTTAAAATTGTTCCTTTTGATACATTCTGCCATGCCATATGAATGATGTTTATTGCATCCAAAAGATTGATTGTAAAATTTTCCCCGCCACTATCAATAATTTACCAGAGAAGAACTTGACGATAATGGCTTTTTAAACTGTGGATTACACCCTGATCCATAGCTGTAGTTTAGAACTCGTGTATGGGGGTATGAACACTAGGTTAATACAGTCCAAATTTTTAACATCTGGATGAGCTGGACTTGTCTATTCATAATATAATTTTTCGTTTTACGCGGCGTAACTCAACATCCCAATTACGCAGTTCAGCATCAAAAATCTCTGAGGTCATCCATGCTCTTTTATTGGATTTGTAATTAACTGGCAACTGTGAAACGTTTTTAAAACATCGAGGGTTTCTCGATCTTCCAATTACTATATAGCTTTCATTTTTCTGTCCCTGTTAGATTTGCCACTACAAGCAGAGTGATTCTTTCTTTAGATAGCTTCCCACCCTCACACTTCTCGCCTTTGAATCTTAAGGTCCTGTCAGGTGGAAGTTTATAGAATAACGCAGTTTCATCTGCATTGAATATGACCTCGTCTTTGAAGTTCCTTCTAATGATTGGCCACTTGTTCCGCAACCAGTTATTCACACAGTCCATATCAACTGCAGCAGACTCTCCAACAATTTTTCCACTGGTAATGTTATGTCGTCTTTTGAATTTTTCTATCCAGCTTCTACTAAATTTAGGTTCTTCACTCAGTTCTTCATATTTCAATAGCTTCTTCCCAAGGTCTTCAGCCTTCGATTGCAGTATAGTACCACTTATGGTTACTTTTTTATTTCTCTGTTGAGAAAACCATTTTAGAAGTCCCTGATCAATCTTATAATTCGTGGGCTTTTTCATTTTCTTCACATTTATGTTTTGGCCTTTCTCAAACATTTCCAGTATTTTTTTTTTATTTTTCCAAATTGTACCAACCTGTAATTAAAATGAAAAATTGTAAATCAAATTCATGTCTTAGAGTGCTTATTTATGTATGTTTAGGACATGTTATTGTGCAGTACTCACCGTTGATTTACTTAATCCCATTTCAGAACAAACTTCACTTTGCGTCACACCTCCTTGCAATGTTTTGACGATATCGTGTTTACTATTTAATGGTACGTGTACACTGTAGAGAAAATCTACCTAGATTTTAGATTTAGATACGTTCTCTAGGTGAGACTTGTAATGTTCTGTGTACACTATAACATATTTTGGCCCTCGCTAGACCTTTGTAGATATTTCCTAGATTAAATCTATACCAATTTCTCTATGTGGTGTGTACATATCATGGTAGATTTGATCTCGTAAAAACGTATAGGCATTATATTGCACCGTAGTTTGTTGGAAGTAGTTTGAAATTCGCGAATTAAGAAAATTGCAGCTGCCTCTGTTATTTTAATAACGAGAAGAAAAAAATGTTGAGCTAAAAAACAAGAAGAGAAGGATGTGGGTTAGGAGCTGGATTTCAAGAAGACAGGATAGTGGTTTTTTTGCTCAATTGGTGAAAAATTACACAGCGAAGACATGAATTCATACGCTAACTTTTTACGCATGAGTAATAAGGACTATGAATACTTGCTTCAAAAAGTTGAACCATTGATTAGAAAACAAGATACTCATCTTAGGCTAGCTATTTCACCTTCAGAACGGCTCATGCTTACTTTACGGTTTTTAGCAACAGGTGAGTATTGAAAGACATGAGTTTGTTTTCTAGGATGTATTTAACTTAAAAAGCAAACAAAAACAACTTCTAATTAAATCATTTTTAATTGTAGGAGATAGCTATCATTCCCTGCAATACCTTTTTCGGATTCCAGTCACGACCATTTCAAGGATTATACCTGAAGTTTGTGAAGCGATATTTACTGTGCTGAAAACGGATTATCTCCAGGTAAGTAATTTTCGTAAAACTGCGTGATTGGAGGAAGGTTTGTAGTTGTATTTGTTATCGGTGCCTCTTCAAAACTTTCAACCGTATTTGAAGTTGATGGGTATGTACTCGAATGTGAATAAGTAGGCGACATTAAAGGTGTAAGTGTTCTATCCAGAAAACTCCACTTCATCTTCCTCGCTCATTGCAACTATAGCTTTCTGGATTATTCGTTTTAATCTTCTTTTTCGTTCATCAGAACGCAGCTGCCGTAATTCACTAGCAACATATTCACCAAATACGGTATACTCGTCAGTTGGTGTATTTAGTATGTTTTTAGCCTTTTCTAGCATTGCATCACCTTCCTCGTCCGTTTTTTCCTTGGCTTTGGTTTTTAGTTTTTTCGAACGATGAGTTGTAGTATTTATGTTGTTGGTTTTTCTATGCTTTGTAATTGAGACTCCTCCAGAAAATCTGAAATAAAACAAAAGTAGCGAATAAGCTTATTTTTAGTTTTGTAATATTACTTTTTCTTTTAGATCCCAAACTCTCAGGAAGAATGGTATGAAGTTGCAAAGGGATTTGAGGAGATTTGGAATTTTCCAAACTGTTTAGGTGCTCTAGATGGCAAGCACGTGGTTATGAAAGCACCAAGGAATAAAGGCAGTCTTTATTTTAATTATAAAGGAACACATAGCATAGTCCTCATGGCACTAGTTGATGCAAAATACAAATTTCTTTATGTGGATGTCGGATGCAATGGACGCATATCTGATGGTGGCGTGTATGCAAACTGTTCATTGTCAAGAGCATTAGAAAACAACATGTTAAACATGCCAAAACCAAGGCCATTACCGGGTGAATCTGAAGATGCACCTTTTGTTGTTATTGCCGATGATGCTTTTGCCTTGACTTCCTATTTATTAAAACCTTTTCCTTTCAAAAACCAACCCGGATTTAATCGGTTTTTAACTACAGAATATCAAGAGCAAGGCGTGTAGTTGAAAATGCTTTCGGACTGATCTCGGCTCGATTTCGTGTTCTTAGACGACCAATAGACCTACCTCCAGAGAAGGTTAAAAAATTGTACTTGCAATATGTCTTTGCATAATTTCTTACTGACCCAAAAAAGTTCGGCACATTTATATGCCCCAAATGGAATATTTGATACTGAAAATGATGGGAACGTTATCAATGGGAGTTGGAGAAATGGAGGAAATCCTATAGCTAATATGGTTCCTTTACAGACTACAAATGTTAGAAACCCATCGAAAACAGCCAAAGAAGTACGAGAACAATTTAAAAATTATTTGTATCCAAACATGGTGAAGTCGCCTGGCAGTATAAATATATAAACATAATACCATTTTATCTGCTTAATGTAATATATGTTTCTAATGCTGAAAAAATGTTTACTCACCGTATCCCTAAAGTTTGCAGTGCTTTTGGTGCTCCCAGAGCAACCCATCATGAACTGTAACGCATCATAAAATTCCCACTTACTTTTCCACAGTCTATCATCAGTTCCATCTCCACTTTTGGTTTTTTTAATTTTCCTTATCTCCGAATTCATTTGACACCTTAAATTATGCCATTTTTCTTCCACTTCGGCTTCAGTGGTTTTTAACTGATCTGCTATATTTTTTATAGCTTGAGCCTTTTTATCCCGATCTCTGTACTCCTTCAATATGCAATTCCAAAGTTCTGGATGTGCCTCGTACATCTCAATTAGCTTGAGAGTACTTTCTTTGTCCCATTTCATAGCTTTTTGCTCATTTACACTTGGTGGGGAAGCCATGCTTTCAACTCATCGAATAGAGCGAAACAATGCGAGAGTGATCTAGAGAACTAGTCTCAGTACTGTGTCTACTACAACCCTACCTAGACTAACGTCGCGCTACCGAGAGTATTACGCCACACTCGCTAGAGCAGTCTCAGTAATATGTACACTATAGACTTAGTCTAAAGCGACTCTAGCTAGCGCAAATCTCGGGGAAAAATCTATAGTGTACACGTACCATAAAGTAAGAGCTTTACGTGTTTTCTTAGAAATTGCGTCACTCATGATTTCAAGAGTGCAGAGCACTGAATACAACGAATATAGAAGGTATCAGACTAAATGGCGGTGGCGGACTGGCGGCAGGCGCTGACGATTCCTCATACCCCACCACGCGGTCGGAAGATTTCGGTTACCTGATTCTGGTAAAATACAGTTTTACGCTCGTTATAACCGAAAAGAAGGAATACAAATCCATATTTATGCTAAACATACATGGGCGTCCATCATTTCTCTTTCCTTTTGGTGTCAATATCCGCTTAATAAGATGCACGGCATATCGAACCATCGTCAGAACCCTCCTGACAGTTACCACCTGTTTGCGGTCCAAAAATTATTCGCAGCCGAGTTGTCCCTCTCGCCTCTCGCTTCAGTTCAAAGGGGACCGTTGCTTGAATGGGTAGGGTCGGCATAAGGCCGACAGCTGATGCATTAAGTCGGTTCCGACCTGCTGGGCACAGGTGAGCCTATGCTGAAATCGGAGCACTGATTTCCTTTAGTCAGTGGAGCGTACTGTCAAAGGAAATCACAAATCACCTTGAATGCAGTTAGTACTAGGTACAGCTGTTTTTTGATTGGGATCTGAAAGACATTCGCCCTTGAAGACTATTGGAACGGTATGACAGTCACATGAAAATGGAACAATACTCTGTTGTTCATAAGTTTCGTAATCCGCGCTCTTGCTGCTTAAGCAGACAGAAGAAAGCGGACAGCCGTTTTGACACTGATTTAAGAAAGCATACTTTATCTGAAGTCACTTGAAATAGCATAGAAACCTTTGGTCGGCGAGTCCTTTGTAATTTCATCTTCTTATTTTTTTTGATTTGGGATAAAAAATACTTATATTGGGAGTTTAATTTATGTTGACTGAAAGTTAAGAAATGGAAAAATTACAGAATTCCAACGTTTGACATAGGCAAATATTTACATAGCAGGTAGGTATATAAAAAGGTATATAAAGACTTACATTATAGGTATTTATATATCATCCTCGCCTTCGGAGCTGTCGCTAGAGTAATCTTGTAGAGGAATTACAACGGGATTTACAGGAGGCAAAACACAATATTCATTTTCTTTTTTAATAATATGCCTAGAACACTGCTTCCATAGGTCTGTGGCAGCAATATGAGATACTGCATCTCTTATTGTGGCCAATAGCGATTCACTTAATTGAGGGGTCTGATTATGTTTTCTTACTTTTTTTTAAAGCAGCCCAGACCAACTCAATCGGGTTAAAAATGCAGTAATAGGGAGGTAGACGTAATACTTCATGGCCATTTTGCTGAAGCAGATTGTCAACAACAAACTCTTTTTCAAATTTTTGTCTTTTAATAAGATCCAATAATATGGCTTTGGTTGATTTTTGTGGTATTTCCATTCCCTTATCCTTCATAAAATCAATAATGTCTTGTTTTTTTGTGCCTGTATTCGGAATTTTGTTTTTCTGTCGGGAATGGTATGGCGCATTGTCCATAATAATCACTGAATTTGGGGAAATGTTTGGTATTAACTGCTGCTCTATCCACTTTTCAAATAAGTCGGAGGTCATGTCCTCATGATAGTCGGCACATGATTCTTTGATATTTTTGGCAGATAACAGCAAGGCATTAGGTATAAATCCACTTTCACTGCCAGCATGGAGAATAATGATTTGTTTTCCACGGTTGCATGGTGCATTTAAAATGCACTTGTTGCTGTCGTCAACCCAGCCATACTGCACAACATCATGGGTATCATACCACGTTTCATCCAGGTAAATCAGATTTCTTTTCTGCTCTCTATAGATTTTAACTTTGTGCAAAAATTCTTGGCGCAATTCAACGATTCGAGACGACTCCATAATCACCATTCTTTTATCTAATTTTTTGTATTGAAAACCACACAGTTTTACAATACAGTGCCGTGAGTCTAAGCATTCGTAATTATAAAAATCTTCAGGATAATCTTTTAATTTATCCCGTATCATTTCCAACGTGGGCACCAAATTTTCTTTATAAAATCCGTATATTATACGACGAATATCTTCCTGAAAACCCACGTCTATTCTTTTTAATGTTTGCCCTATGCGCTTTCTGTGGAAGGAATGGTTGACTACAAATTCTGTTTAAAATTTGATTTTGCGAGGAATCTGGATTTCCGTTTTTCAGACAATCATACATATTTAGGATTACTCTTTGGGTCTGTTCCTCTAAATCTTTATGAAAGAATTCTGCCTGCACAGGTTCATCAACCATCTCCTCGTGGCTTGGAGCATTTTCCCAAGGACTCCAAAGAGCCATATTTAGGACACACAAGAACAATCAACACAACAATTAAATCAACAAGTAAACTGAGTATTCAAAAGTCAAAAACACACAAACTAATAAAATCTATGAAAAAACACGGACAGACTAAAGAAAACACGTTTATTCACCGCTACACCGGGCACTGGCTAAACTGTTTCAATTTTCAGTAGCCACCTGCACTTGTTCGGAGCTCTGAAATACACGCTTTCTCATTGGCTATGTCCACTCATAGGCGTGCTTTACTCCACGTGGACCGGTGAAACTGCCTTTGATCTTATATATATTTGCTGCGAAATTTGGCGATTTTTGCAACAACAGAGCGTGTTAAATAGATATATAAAACGCACCCGGTATTTCACAGTGTTTCAAGTGACTTCAGATAAAGTATACCTGAAAGCGTACTACGTTTACTTTGTGTCTTTTACTATTTATTTCCTTTATGCGTTCCTAAATCGTAAGTAAAATGTATTGAAAAATAAATAATTTACAAAAACCCTACATAGCCCTGATTTGAAGACAATAATAATATTAATATAATTTATTTGTACTTAAAATACACATACACTACACAAAGAAACAAATTATTTCGAGAACAAATAAATGGAGAACTCACAGGATGGTCCTTGTGCGCGCAGAAAAAACCACAAAATTCTCATGTACTAACAATAATATGATAAGAAGGTATCCTTCATTCTGATGTAACGTATAAATGCTGTATGTGTGTCAATTCGGGAGAAAATGGCACTTGAGGCAGTATTCCCCAGTTCGTTTTTTTGGTTTAGTATGTTTAGAATCTCAATCCGGGTGAATGGCATTCGGGAATATAGTCTCTAAGGTTTCTTGCCAATCTTATTGTTAAGGTCAATAACTTGGTGTGTATTAGACATTGGTAAAGCCATTATACATGTTTTTACTTTCTTCTAAAATAGACCATGTGAGCTAGTTTGTTTGCTACAAATCTTCAGGGAACATATTGCAACAGCTATGGCTCAGGAGGCTATAGGACCTTTGTAAGACAGGTTCTGCAGGTTTAGGCATAGTAAAGGAACTTCACATCATTTTATTAGTTTTCTCATTATTCTCTTCGAAATTAAAAAAGGATTCCAAAGGCAATTTTGACAACTGAAAGGGGTCTGGTTTGCGTGACTAAACCCAGTAAAATCCAGTAAAATGTCAAACAAGCATCTAAATGAGTAAGAAATACGGATCTCGGATATTACTATACTAAATGACATGTAAATCCGAACACCCAGTTTAAATGGTTTTATTTTAATAAAATTTTGTATAAGTACTTAATGAAGCATAATAAGTAAATGATAGAAATTTCAAAATGATTGCACTGCTTTAAAGCCCTTTGACCTTTAATAATGTGTGGATGCACCCTGATGTGCTACGCATTCTCCATCGCGCCTAGGCATGCTTCTGATCAGGTGGTCAATGTCCTCCTGTGGTATCTCATTCCAGGCAACCACCAACTCCTCTCGAAGTGCTTCTAGAGTCTGAGGAGGACGTTGCAATTTGAGTAATCTCCTACCCATCATATCCCATACGTGCTCAATTGGGGATAAGTCGGGAGATCTTGGTGGCCATGGTAACAATGTGACACCATTATGTTGAAAGAAGTCTATTGTGACTCTTGCAACATGTGGTCGGGCATTATCTTGTTGGAAAGTTGGATCTGCCAGGGTGTCAAGATGGGGTAAAAGATGGGGTTCCAGAACTTCGTGGATATAACGCTGCGCGTTCAAGTTACCTCTGATGCAGATTAAAGGTGACTTGGAACCATAAGCTATAGCACGCCAAACCATAACTCCAACAGTGTGATGAACATGTCTTTCAACAAAAAACTGTGGATTCCTCTTTTCACCACGTCGCCTTCTAACCCTGGCACAACCATCGTGCATGCCTAAACACAATCGAGACTCGTCACTAGAAACAATACTGTTCCATTCCTGATCCCAGAGTGACCGTTGTCTGCACGACTCAAGGCGACTACGTCGGTGTTCTCGAGTTAAAGGGAGGACCCAGTGTGGCCGGTATGAAAACAAGCCAAAACTTCTCATTTGTCGGTAAACACTTTGCATGCCAACAGGTCTTCCGTGTTCTGCAAACCATTCATTCGCAATGGACCTGGTAGTATAGAAACGGTCCCTTAAGGCCAATAATCTTAGGCGGCGATCTTCACGGTCTGTTGTTCTACGGCGGCGTCCAGTGCCCCTTGCTCTTTGCGTACGGCCTTCTCAAAGCCATGCCTGACAACACCTAACCACACTTCTTTGCACTCTAACTGCAATTGCCCGAAAAGAAAGTCCAGCTTCCCGAAGTCCCACTATACGGCCCCTATCAAACCCAATAAGTTGACGAAATCGTATAGGTCTCCGTACTCTAGGCATCGTAACCGATCGTAAAGGATGTCAAGAACCAAAATCCGCCAACGTTGATTCTTTACTGCGGCTG